CTGAGCCAGAAATCATCATAACTCTTATTCTATTTGTGTGCAAATGTTACAGGAAATAAAAATTGGTAAGATACTGTATAGAAGATGTAAAATGTACATAGCTTTTTGAAAATTAGCAATGATTTGTACAAAACTATAGGATAATTCAATGTTTAAATTGTTAAACTTAAATGTTTCCATAGATTTAATGAGAAAATCCAAATGCCACAGTCTGAAATCATATCTTTTTAGGAACTTTAATTTCCTACATTTCAGTAACAGCGAGCATTCATACCAGTTGTTCTTTTTTAAAATATATTTTTATTGACTTCAGAAAGGAAGGGAGAGGGAGAGAGAAAAACATCAATGGGGAGAGAGAATCATTGATCAGCTGTCTCCTGCATGCCCCCCACTGGGGATGGAGCCTGCAACCTGGGCATATGCCCTTGACCGGAATCAAAACCGGGACCCTTCAGTCCACAGGCTGACACTCTATCCACTGAGCCAAACTGGCTTGGGCAGCATTCATAATTCTTACAAAATTTTTAAGTTAACATTTCAACAAGTATGCCTCTCCATTAGAAATCTAGATGTATTTGAACATACTGACTCTTTCACAGAGTTACAGCCTCTTCATTTCGTGAATATTAATAGTCTCTGCAGATTTGTTGGAAACTGAATTTCTGTTCTTCATCCGCCTCTGATTTGGATGGCTAGGCTGGTTTCATTTGAAAGCAAACTCCTCCTGGTCTTGGAAGAGGTTTGGCTCCCCCACACTTAATAAGTTCAGCAAACCCTGAAAAGCCATCAGAACCCCAAAGATGATAGCCAGAGTGGATAAAAAAACACAGAATCCACTGTTGGTTGATATTCAGGCAGAAATACAAAGGCCAAAAGGAAGGAAGTAAAAATATAGTCAGGATCGGTGTTCACATAACATTTCCACAGTGCTTGGAGCTCAGGGCTATACAGTCAATAGTTATGTTGGTAATAACACCTAGTCAGACTACTGATAGATTACTAGTCCCTCCCTCGCAATAATTAGTTTGATACAAATTCCCAGAGAACGTTGTTGCATATTGATTTTCCACATTGCAATTTCATTCTCACATTATTCAGGGAAGTATGTAGATAGTAGGTTGTATCGCATTATTATCCTGTATTAGAAGGGAAACGGGTGGGATGTGGAAGAGTTGAAAACATTCTTGAACAAATGTTGAGGTGAAGAATATATTTTGTTAAATTTGATTTGGAATCTCAGGTCACAAAAACTTCATACTGTGGTTTCTTTGCTGAGCATGTGCAGATGATGTTGTAAACAGCACAGTGTTAAGGAGTTGGTGTTCTGGTGTGACTTGTGTGCCTTCAGCTGTCCTTGCTGTAGCAGAGATTAGCTGATGGTCTTCACATTGGAATGCATGCTCTAGAAAATCCCAGAGTGGGCACCCAATTGGCCTATACTTTTGTATTAACATATTTTTTTGTGGTCAGACTCCAAACATCCATTCATTTAGCAAAGTGTCAAAAATCTAGATGAGCCAAAGATCTTCTGAAGACTGTAGTTAACTGATTTGGGATGGTAGCAACAGAATGCTTTATGCAGAATAACCTGCTTATGAATGGAGTGATGTCTCCCCATATAACAACTGTTAACTTCCATATATACATGACAGCATTCATTTGTTTACTTACTCAATTACTCCCAAATATTACAGAATGCCTACTGTGTGCTATGTACTTTGCTGGGCTTGGGCATTCAGAGATAGCATCAACACTAGTCCCTGCTCTCAGGTTTCTTCCAAACCAAAGGAGGGGTCAGATCTGCTGTAATGCAGAAGGAATACTGTACTCCTGGTCTACACAAAATACCAGCCAATGAGGTTTATATAACCAAGTGCGCTTTAGCCAATGTTAATTCAATCAGTGTTATTGGAAAATAACAGTATTTTATTTTGGTACATATGCAGTATAACATAAAAGAATGAAATGTCTTTTCAAACTGCCTAAGAAGCCAGCTTGCAATTTTTTATTTTTTTATATGAAATTTTTCCTCCGATGGCAATCATAGATGTTGTTTATGAAGAAATTCCTAGCACCTTTCTCTAAACAAGTAAGGTTATAGACTTATCTTGAAATGATAGATACTTGCTTTAATTGATCCCTGCTATAAAATCAGTTTTGCAACGATACTTAGTTCCAGTTGATTTTTTTAGTTCATCATCTTAATTAAGTTTAGCCTCCCTTCAACCTTTCAGCCTTATTGGTAACTGTTACTTTTCAGCAATTTCAAAGAGATTACATTTTTAAATGATTTTTTAAAAACCTCCCTGGTAATGGTCATTAACCTTACACACAGCAGATATTGTACTTGTGTATAATTAAAGGGACCAAACATGAAGTTTTTTTCAGCAGCCCATAGTCCCCAGAAGCCAGTAGAACTTTTATCCGTAGGTTTTTTTTTAAAATTAGACCCAGGGCTTAAAGCTAAGCAATATAGATTAGGGAAATGGTGATTTGGGCA